TCAATATTAGCTAATCTAAAATTGTATATATTAATATTAAGAATTACATTTTGTTTAACAACTGGATTCATTAAAATAGTTGTCAAGTATGCAGCATCTAATGTCTTGACTATGTTTAGTATTCATTCTATATGAATACTATAGTAATCATTAATATTTAAAATTATTACTTTCTCTATATACTTAACAAATATAGAATTAATATTTTTTGCATACTCATCAGATATAGTATTTTTGTGTTGTTGTATTGTACAAGATATTGTAATCATGTCTAGATCAGCAAATGTATTTAAAAAACTATTAAAAATACCAAAATAGAATTCAGATACAATATCAAATCTATCTTAATATTATTAATAAATTTATTTTAAATTTTATAGAAAAAGTAATATACAAACAGTAACTGTTTTTTTGCCTGTTGTTGTAAATTTTTATTTTTTAATGTTAAATTAGATAAAAGATACAACTTATCAAAAAAATACTTTTAATTTTGCATTTTTATTTTTTATAACTGATTAAAATTCATTAAATAAATATATTGTTAGTTTCTTTTTTCTATATTTACAGATATACAAAATGCTTGTTATCTTCTTAACTTCTTTAAAAAAAAAATAATAATTAATACTTTCTTGTTTATTAGATTCATTAATTATATACTCATCAATTTTATTAATTTCATCAATTTTAACTTGTTTTATAGATGATTAAACATGTTAAAATTTAATTGATCTTTTTACAATTCCGTTATAACAGTTCAAGCATACTATGTCACCTAATTGAATATAAGTTGGTAAAGAATTATTAGCTTGACCTTTAGAAATAACATTCTCAGTTACCACTCTCCAGTTGGTTAACCATCTCTTACATATAGTAATTTTACAAAACCCTATAATAGTAATTAATAATGGCATATTTGCTTCTAAGTGAAGTTTTTCAGGTTTCCGATCTTTTCCTGATTATTTTGTACAGTGAATATTTATGCTCTCGCGAAGCTAATGGTAAAAAAAAAATATAGATTTTTTCTTAGTGAAACGTTACTCTTCTAAAAAGTACTTTAAAGTGTATAAATTAGTTACCCAGACAATTGATCTACGCTAACCAATCATGTGAATGTCGTCCTATGAGATCATTTCCTAATTTGGGACGGTCTTACCTGACCCCCTGCTGTTATATTCACGAATATTCCAAAATCCGGATATTCATCTAATACTATTCGTGAATATCCAAAACCTGCGAATATTTGCTGAATAGGCATAATGGGTATTCAAATGATTCAAATTCTACCGGTAAGAGTATCGTATGTATTAATTTCTTTACTAATTTTCGATGTCTTTGAAATCTAATGTTATACGTACTTAAATATGTCTAATAGTAATACCTGGATTAAGGTTAGAGTAAAAATTACGGTATAATTTAGGCCGATTATTTTAATACTAGCCATCTGATAGATACCTGAGGTGCGTCAGCTGCAGGTGTACACTTTACCCTCGTTATAGTGGACCATTATAACGGCGTGATTATCTAAAACATTTTAAAATTTTACTATACTATGTAATACCCGATCATTTCGTTATAACAATGGTAGAGTGTATTCGATAAGATATCAATGATTATTGATCCGGTGTGATTAAAAATTTAATACTAGTGTCAAATAATTAGCCTTGCTTCTATAGATTGGGATGGATCTGATGAATCTCGACATCTTTCTAATCATGGTTCGTAAGTAAATAGTAATAATAAAATTGAGAAATTATGACAATAAGATCTAAGCCAAGACATGAAAGAGGAACTAAAAATTGGATCATAATCATTTATTAAGGACTACATAGTTATAAGGAATCAAACTTTATTAAAGGTTTAATTTTCTTCTCTAATTTCAAAGGAAACTTGGTCAAAGTTTATTATGATTCGGGATCTCTTGCAGTATAAGGGAGCCATTAATGAAATGTATTATTAATTGATTGATTATAAAGTGGGATCACCTATTATTGCAAAAGAAATCACTCATAAGAATAACAACGAACTTTTGATTATTTATATCATTAATAAATTTGATTGGTTTTTGAGTGATGCCATTAAGACATATATTTGGTTTTGGTTATTATCCCAAATGAAGCAAAAACTCCGATTCCCGAACTCAAACCATGTAATGTCGCCCATTCAAAAAAAATATATTTGGGTCGCAACCCTAGTGATAGAATATTTATGATTGGATTTTATTTATTTTCAGTGACGGAAGAAAACGGATCATCTTTACGTGCTTCACCCAACAATTTGTCAATTTTTTTGTTCTTTACTGCATTCTTGATAATTCGGTAAAATGAATATATTGAAATCTATCTAAGTTCGATAAACGAATCTGACAAGAAATTCTAGAATGCATTACCAGAACACAGTCGCGGTATTGTTTGAATATTTCTTCGCATTCGGGTCGTAAGTCTCCTTTGAGAAATTTTTCAGAATACCATTTGTTAAAACAAGTGTCATATTCTTTTTTGAGTTCGTCACAGCTTCTACCAATACTCTGTGACATTCTATATAAGAAAGTTCATGAAATTTTGAAATGCCTTTGTGTATTCAAAAAAAATTTACCCCCTGTAATTTTGGCCAATCGAATGTTTAAGATCAGGTGTTACGTAAATTTTGACACTAGTGTAGAGGTTGGAACCGGTTTTAATAATTCGGGGTTATCACATGAATTTTGTGATATTTTAGAATTTATTAAAATTTAATTGGATAAATTTCTAAAATATCCGAATTATAAAACCGGTTCCAACCTTTAGATCGATCGACCAATCACGGTGTGATAAGTAACTATGATATCTTACTGCCGATTCTAATTGGCTGATTCTTTGCTGCACCTCAATAAATTTTAAGAGGTAAATCGCGAATTTAATAGTAAAAATTACCGGAAGTTGATATGGTTTTTCTATAGGGTTGGAATGCAGCTAGCTTACAATGAAAAGTTTTTTCATGCCAAGTAAACCTTCCTTGAGTTTCTAACAAAGATTATATAACAAGTCATTCCGGTTATAATAGTGGTAGAATTATTCAAATTGGTTCGGTAGATCGCGAGCTATTGGCATTTTCTCCTTTATAACTATATGATTTTTACATAATGCCAGAAACTTTCGGCATTCCAACATTATATGAAAGTAATAGTAATTTTCCGCCGATTTTTACTACCGATCTACCAATTAAATTTTCTAACTTGGTTCAATTGACCCAGCCGGGTTATGAGAAACAAAAAATTAACTTTGTGTGCCTTAGTTAAATTTGTTATATAATTTTGTTAATTAATTAGCCTAGTTTAAAAGTTTAATACTAGTTAAATTAGTTAAATTATATATACTATATACCAAACTGGCCAAATTAGTCAAATTGGTCTGGTCAAGGTTGACCATTGACTGGTCCATGCCAACTCTGAATATATTATATATTTTAATTTATAAGATCATTGATAACTTTTGATCCACTAGTCCATTATAGATGGTTTAACCATCAAAATGTTCGCCTTGATGAGAGGATTCTAACAAAGTCAAAATCGCTAAAATACAATCACAGAATCCCAAGGTCCTTCAATTTTTGTGTAATTTTAATAAGAGTTTTTTAACTCTTATTAAATTTACAGAAAATTTGAGCGATATTGAGATTCTGTAATTGTATTTTAGCGATTTGACTTTGTTAGAATCCTCTCATCAAGACAAACAATTGGATCAAAAGTTAATTATATAAATTAGAATATATGTATTAATAATATAAAATATGATTGGTTGGTTCAATACTATTCCATTCACTCCATTGATAATTTTCTCAATGGACCTTATCCATTGCCAACCTTGCCCTAAGGTGATGTGCACCATCAAATTACTATTTATTTAGACAAAGTGGTGTACATGACATAAAGACTTCAATATCGATATAAAAAACATATAAAATGAACCACCCATCTGGATAGTAAAATTTGATCCGGTCGGGTTATGAGAACTAATTTATTAGGTTTGTACGTCCTTATAGTTACAAAATTTATTTGTAACCTATAATTATAGATTAATTAATTTCTTTTAAATTTTTTTTTAAAAAAATATTAAAAGATAAGACAGTTTGTTATAAAAAGATTTTTGTCATTAGAATCAACTATATATAAAATAAATTATGATGAAATAAAAGTAAACTTGTCTGTAAATTGATTGTAGATAAACTTGTTTATAAATTAATTTTAATTGTCTGTAAAAATAAGCAACGATAAAACGAATCCGTAAATTACAGTATTGAGGTAAATGATCTACGTATATCCTACCTAAAATAAATTTAGTTAATTAGCTTTTTAGAGTTATTTTAAGTGTTAAGCTTTTCAAACATATGTATAAAGTTTTATTTACAAATAAGAGACGCTCTTTTTATTTTAAAGGAAACGTTAATACGTACGTACTTAACTGTTAATATTTAAAAAATTCTACGTACGTACGTACTGTACGTATATCCATATTGATTGATATCTGATACGTATCTACAGTATAACGCTAAATATATACGGTTTGCAGTTGACACTGATATTGTAAATTCTCACGTGATTAAAAAAACCTTTTCCCTTGTACGTAACAGATGTACGTAGGATCTGTTACAATTTCTGAAATTAGTAACTATGGTGCGTATTAACGCAATGTCCTACATTTTAGCTATATACTTAATACACGTTTCTTTTTTTTTTCATGAAACAAAAAGAAACTAATTCTTTCTTTTGCAGCTGTATTTTACCTATGAACATTATAAGGTTGAAAATATATAAGAAATAAGGATAATAACGAATAACGACTATAAAATATAAAGATACACTTGTCAAGTTTGTTAAGTAAGTATACGTACACTGAACACAACTAACTTTATAGAGTACAAAATATATTAGTCTCGTGACAAAATATACACAAGAAAAGCCACTTTATAAAGTCAAAGTTATAAACCTTTTGTTCACACGATCTTTTGTTCTCTATAATTTCTATATGGATATCAATCTCGATACTTCGTCTAATGTTGACGGAGCTTCAACCGTAATACCCCCAGACTCACAAAATCCGCCTATCATTGAATCTTTCACAACGTCAATAGGTACTCCCCTTAATAACAATAGTGATTCTTCTCAACAAGCGGTTTCAATGCCAACGCCAGCCCTTCAAAGACAGTCTAGGTCTGCTGTTATATCTTCTGTATGGTCCTCTACACCCAACTCTGCTTCTCTTGCTACTACCTCTGTGAGGGCAACAGCTCCAGGCTCAAGGCAGGTTAGACGGAATTGGTGGGGCTATATTATAGAAAACTTTAGATCTATTTCTAGAACCTCTAAGGTGCTGCTAATAATGTCTTTAGTGTTAGTTATTATTCAGGTATGTTCTTAACCATTCGTTGAAGTTTCATTTAACAAGAAAGTAAAAAAGGTATCTCTGACTAGCATGTTTTGTGAAATATCAATTTTAATAAATAGGTTGTTGTCACGATTACAGTTCTTGTTATATCAGCGTTACGCAATAGGACGTGCGACAAACCTCTTAATGTATTTCTAATATTATACGTTATTCGAGTGATAGTCGCATGCCCAGTAAACGTGTATTTGCATCTAAATCCCAGAGATCATAGACGTAATGGTCAAAATCAAGATAATAATGAACCAGTAAGAAGAGACTCATGGGTTGATCGGTGAGTTGATTATCGGAATTTATAGTCCATTTTTTATTAAGCATTCATTCCAAAAAAAAAAAATAAATAAATAAAATAAAATAATTTATTTATATTATATCGAAAATTTTAGCTTTAAATCTTTTCTTGATCTTTTCGCTACTCTTTGGTTTATTATTGGCAACTATCTTCTTTTCACTACACAAACTTGCACACAAAATGCACCTGAAATTTTCTTTCTCTCTTTAACATGGGTTATTCTTGGATATATCGTAATTACTATCCCTATATTATTGTGTCTCGCTGTCATTTTTTGTTTACCATGCGTATTAGTTGCAATGAGGATTCTTCATGTTGGTGATGCTGCTGGAATTAGCGGTGCTAGTGATGATATAATTCAAAAAATTCCATTGGTGAAATATAAATCTCTTGGTGATTCTGATGTATCAGAAGGTCAAACAACAGATACCGTTATATCAGTGTCACAGACAGAATCAGGTCATCAAACGATATCTCCACAAAAAAAATCTCGTTTTAATTTATTCGGAAGCAGAAACAAGGACTCTGCTCATATTTCTCCGGTTGCTCCACAAACTCTTACCATTCCTAATCCTGATGACGCTGTTTGTTCTATCTGTCTTTCATCATATGAAGATGGTGATGAACTTCGAAATTTATGGTGTTCACATCATTTCCATAAAGACTGCGTTGATGAATGGTTATCGTTGAATAGACGCTGTCCAATGTGTCGTATGGATGTCGTTGAAATGGCTAACGAACGAAGTAAAAGAGGAAAAAGTACAAATGATAATGACAATAATAATGTCGGTGAAGGAAGTAGTGGTGCTGTTGGTCAAATTCCAAGTAGTCAAAGTGAATCAGCCGAAGATGTGGCTCATAGTGTATAACCTTTTTTGTTGGTTTGTATATTTGGTATCCTACTACAAAATAATGACACTTGAACTTCCTTACCTAAATCTTTTGTAAAATTTTCCTTTTTCAAGTTCATTATTATTATATATTTTAATCTTATTTGCATATAAGAAAAATCTTTAACAATTTTGTAATTATTTAATTTTATTTCTTTAACTAGATTTTTCTAAAAAAAAAAAACAAATAATAAAACAAAAAGGACTCTTGAACTAAAAACAGATTGGAAAATTCTTTTTTTTATAAAATAATTTTTTTATTCATATTTAAATTGTTTCATTTGATAATATTTTACAAAGTCTTTTTAAAATGTCATAGTAAATTAGGAAATAACTTAATAGTTGATGGCAATGATAACGCACATACCTGGTAAAATTCATATTAAAACTATTATTTACCTTTATTTAGACACTCTTCATTCGGAAGATGACTGTGCCTTTGCTAATCTTTCAGCCACTGTTTTCCAATTAACTACATTCCAAATGGCTTTCAAGTAGTCAGGTCTGACATTCTTGTACTGCAAATAATAGGCCTGAAATACAAAATTTGTTATAAACAACTTACTATCACAAAATTTACTATTACAAAAATATTTATACACACGTGTTCCCAGACATCAATGCCAAGGAGAGGTACATGGGCTAATATTTCAAAGAAAAATTTATGAATTTGATGAATAAAGCAATTATGACTTAACAAACAAAAAGAATCTTACTTGTTAGAGGATCTTGGTTTGAAAGTGTCACAATTTCAATACGTTTATTATTTTTGTTATAACCCTGTAAATTTAGTGAAATATTTGTTTATAAAAAATGATTGTATTACATTTATAAAAATAATAGTATATCAAAAATATTATGCGCACCAACCAACCCCAGCCTGATCCTATAAAATTGAAATTATTGGTCGTAAGTATACTTAAGTGTGAATTAATGTTTATTGATCATACGATAAAAAATCTATTATTTTCGTATGACCAACATCGATCGATATTATCATGTGATGGTTTTACGTAATCTTTGCATAATTGATGTAATTTCGTGACAAAAAAATCACATGATCATTTTCACACAATAAAATAACTAGACAAACCTTGAACTGCAGCAGTTATTGTATTAAATTTGCTAATGAAATCATCAAGAGATCCAAACTCCTTCTGGATGGCGCTAAGAAGTGCTCCTATAAAATTAAATGTCAAACGCGTTAAATACTCATTGAATAAATCAATCCAAAAGTCTTCCAGTTGTAATACTTGGTTCATGATAATAAAATACCCTTAGGAGGTTCACCACCACCCTCTTTAGTAGGTGCGAGATTTGTCCAAAATAAGGAATGATTAACATGACCTAAAAAATTAAATCATTTTAGTGAATTCACGTAGGTAAAAAACAAAAAAACAAAATATAATTCATAATTTAATTACTTTACCTCCACCATTGAATTTTAATGCCGATTGTAAAGCGATTTGTCCAGTAACATCCTGATCTTTAAACGCCTGTTCAAACTTTTCTTCGGCCATATTAAGTCCATTAACATACGCTTGATGATGTTTACTATGATGAATACGCATTATTTCGGCTGAGATAAAAGGTTCAAGTGCCTTTTTTACAAACATAATTGAAATGTAATTAAGATAAAATTCATTCAAATATGGGCATGCTTTTTTTTTTAACCTTTAAAATCATGACTTCACAAAGTTGCTATAACTAGCCAAGCTCTCAAAAGATTCGACCTTAAAAAGTCAAAAATGAAAAGAAAACATTGTATATTTACACCATAGTCATACGGGAGATCCGGAAGTGTATACTTCGATCTCGAAATAATAAAATTGTGGCCAGCGCGATTCAATAATTTGGCGGAGCCAGGAATCCGAGTGAATTTCGAAAACATTAGATCACAATTAACGTTAATCGTAAATTTTTAAGGAAAACAATTTTTATCTTTTTTTTTAATGATGCACGTGACAATTAACCAATTAAATAGTAGTCATCATTCGTATTTAACTAGACTAGAGATAGCAAATCTATAAATACTAAAATATCTCGAACACATTGAATGAGATGAAATAAGGGGACACCTCTCTCATATCAATTGATTATTAATCAATTTTATTAATGGTGTCACCTATATCATATCACATTGTCCAGCCGAATTCCCATCTCCAGCAGATTTCAAATACCACTCAAATGCCTTTTTTTCATTCTTGGTTGTGCCTATGCCATTTTGATAACAAAATCCAACATTATTTTGTCCATCCGAATTACCACCTTCTGCAGATTTCAAATACCACTCAAATGCTTTTTTTTCATCCTTGATTGTGCCTAGCAAACACTAGTAAGTACTGATTTTTTACAAACTAATACGTAACATTTTTTGCCGCGTTAATGACTCGCAAAATGAGTTTCACAACTATTTTTTTTTGCCGATCATAGAACCCTGATTTACTTAAGCGTAGATCATTTTTCATGATTTACATGGTACAAAAAAAAATTTCCATAGACGACAAATAAACCTTTTTTAAAATTATAATTAATCTTTACCAAAATTTTATTTTACATACTTTGGAATTTCTTATTTATAGCAGTGAAATTTTGAACTTTGTATCTTTTAAAGAAATCCACTTTCGTATATTGATAAAAAACCTTAACAATTCTGATTGGTCGATCACATAATTTTATATCGATATGATACGTGATTACTAATAGAAATAATCTATCTACGTTCATTTTTAAAGCCGTGTTTAATTACATATTGCATAAATTGTATTTTTGATACATATTAAAATTCAAAAAAAATCACTTGCACAAACATATGTTTTGTATATTTTATGCAGTTTTTTTAGAAAATTTTATTTGTATATTTAGTAAGTTAAATTATTTTTTATAATTTACATAATAAATTATATTTTTAGTAAAAAATAAATAAACATTTATAAATTTTTTATAATGTATACATTAAGAATAGGGTGTCTATATAGTATTATGTACTAATAAATTTTTTTTATTTTCAAAATTCAATAATATATAAATTTAAATAAGTTATTTATTATATTAAAATTTTATAAGATGTTTAATTTAAAAAAATTATATTTGTATATATTTTACATTTTTTTTGAATATTTTAAGTTTTTTTTGGTTACTTAAAAGGTCAACTTTAATTGATTAATTCCTGAAAAACTATAAAAAAATTTTAATAGTAAATTTTTATATTTAATTTTTAAAAATTTATATATCAAAGAGTTTATTTTTTTTGTTTGTACTAAAGTTGTTGTTATTGGTAGTTATTGCCTTTATTGTGTTTTTAATTATAGTTATATAATTTGTACAAAGTGAGTATGCAACCAGTGTTGTTAATGGACAGATGTAAACAATATATAAACATGTTGCATAAAAAAATATTAATAGCTCAAAAGTTTATTATAACAACTTGATTTTGTACATTAAATAAAAATATTTATTATTAAATTTTATATATAATTATATATTTTTAATAATATATATTAAGCAATAAGGAGGATGGCGATCCTAGTGTAGTGGTTGGATTGTCATCCTCCAAGTGGCAGGTCTAAGGTTCAAATTCCACTTACGACGAAATTTGGAAATTAACCTGTGTTACAGCTAAACTGTCTTCTGTCGATCAGTTGGATTTAGGTATCTGTAATTTTGGATACAACCAATCGGGTTCTACTCGTCATTAAGAGCCTGAGACATCTATGCGAAATGTAATGTTATATGTACATAGAGGAATATTAAAACCGTGATTGTATAAGATTCTGATGCAAACCCATAATAAGACCACCAGATGTAGAAGACCAAGAAACCGAGAAGACAGAATCTCACTTGGAAATCTCGAGAAAGAGGTAGCACAAATCTTCGATGGTGCTGTTGGACCGATGGAAGCCTAGGAAACCCCAATAAGGAATAGGCAGACATGCAATTGGATGAAAAGATGTGTAGAAGAGCACATGACCAACCAGGCTGCCAGAATCGTCAAAGAAAAAGGATACCAAAAGGTATACCATACTGGGCTATCTGGATTGGGAGTCTGAGGAGTCTGTCAGATTCTAAGTTGGATAGTATAGAGATGAAAAGAAGAAGTTGGAAAGATAGGTATCAGAGTTTGGGTAAACTTTCAAGGGTAAAAAATAGTGTAATATAGTAGTTTAAGGTTAGCCCTGACTGCAAGTGTTAGGTAACTATAGCATGTTATATGAAATTCAGGTTAGCTGTATGTGGAACATAGAGGCTCTGGTAGGTTTATCTCAAGGATAAAATAGTCCTAAGGTTGAGACAAGGATCTGGGCTTAACCCAGTAAAGTTGGTACAAGGGTTTCAGATCAGAGGGTTTAAATAAAACACTTAAGCAAAGGTGTTAGGTATGGCAACTAGTGGGGAACCTTTGAGCGGACCTCTTAAATAGGTAATATAAAAAAATTACATGTGTAGCCAGTTGTACACTCATCATGATACCCGACAAAAGTATTAATAAAGTCAAAAGACCAAAGAGGTCATCTTAATACTGAAAAAAAAAAAAATATTAAGCAATAAGATGCATAAATATTATAGATATCTGTGAACATAAACATAAATATGAATTAAACATAGATATGAATAGCTAAAAAATCAATAAACATAGTAAATATGACAACATTGTATGCAATTACCATATATACAACTTTTGATTACCTATTTAAGTAGTTCACTTGCAGGTTTTATACTAGCTGTTATATCTATAATCTGCTAAAAGATTATCTAATTAATGATTCTAATTTTTATACTATATATAACAGATAATATACGAGTTTTTATATATTTAAGTATTATCTAACCTAACATTAATATTTTTTTTTGTAAATTCATTAAGTTATTACATATTTTATAACATATTATCTAATTATAAACATTTTGTTAACTAATTTAGCTACTTTATAAACTATTAACAAAGTTATGCTTTTGTAAAGTTTATACAAATAGTGTTA